GAGAAGAAACAATGGCTTATCAGAAATACAGCAGGCTCATGCTGTCCCACAAAAGCAAACCATATTTGGTATAAAGGCAAGCCAAATCTCTGAAACAGAAAATGCCTCCAGTCCAGGTTTGGGTTGTGGTGTTTGTTTTTTTTTCATGAACAACACTACACTTGTACTATTCTGATTAGAACAAATTCTCAAGCTTATTTTTTAGTCCTTTGTCCTCCACCAGTTTTATTCCTAGAAAAACTTTCTGCTTCATCCATAACACTTGCCCAAAGCCAAGCTCCACTTGTGGTAGAACTCATAACCAGCACACATTTGAAACAGTTATTTCTAGAGGAAAGCACTACTGTGGACTCTTCTGTTGAACAACAAACCAAGTTTCTGCATCTGCCTTTTATATGGAAGATCTTTCAAACATACTAGCAGTTGCTGTATTCCAAGAACCCTTACAATTGACAAGAGCATACAAATCTGTAGACAACATATAAGTACACATTAACACGAGTCCATGAAGTACTGACCACTGTGGTGAAATCTGATATTTAAAGGCATCTCACGAAGGCTGATGCTCTGCACATCAGCACCAGATATTCAACACAAAACACTGAAGCAGTCAAACAAAACATTTCTAAATGTTAAACCCAAATTAAGAATGCAGCATAACAGTACCAAATATAGGCAAGGCAAAATTAATCAAGAGGCTAGAAGTGGGTCCTGTTGGCTTCTTCAATATGATCCAAACAAACACTTTTAAGAGAAATACATAAGAGAGTCAACTATCTTTTGATGGGAAAAAAAAAGTAACCAACATCAAGACATCTAAGGTAAAGGTAGAAAAAGAGCTGAAGTATATTGCTTCATTCTGGTACTAAAATTTCCCAAGTTACTCTGCTGAATAAGGAAGCATGATGTTTGTGTCAGTAATCTGCATTAGACTGACATCCAATCACTCCGTATTTCCAGAGGATTAAAAAAAATAAAAATATTCCAAAGTTCAGCGCCAACAGCACTCTTTATAACCATTCTTCAGATCTCTTATCCACAGGAGTTGCACGTAACATGCTTGTCACTGCATGAGCACACAATTGAACAAAAGATTCAGCTTCATGCTCTACTCATTAGTCAAAGTAGCTGACTGGTAAAAAAATATTTATAGCACTTCTGTATCACATTAGCTTGCAGTTTCTTTGAGCCATACAACTATGGTTTAAATGAGTTACAGATAAGAGTTCGACTTCTCTGTGTTATCAACACTGTGATGAAGTTAGTTTCCTGATGTTAAAGTTTGTCTACATCTGTAAGTGAAGATTTTCTCTATTCCATATTCACTATCACTGTACTGAACAAAAGCCTTCCCCAGAGCTATACCTCAATGATAGCTTCATACTTCAACCTTATGACCAAGGAATATGTTCATTTACTAATAAGGCCTGACTGCCTGTAAGCAGTTGTTTCATATTATGGTTCTGATGGAAAAAGTGATTTTCTTACTAAGCAGAGATTCCTTTGTGGCAAGTCACAGGCAGGCTCTGGCCTCTTCTACATCAACAAGACATTTCTCAGATATTAGTTATGTAAAATATGAGCATATACTCTATTTCTGGCTGCTTAGGATTATCAAAACAGAATGGTTTATATTATTTTGGAGATTCAGAAAAGATCAGCTATTTAACCTAGAAAACCAAAACTCAGTATACCAGTTACTTGTTTCTTACGCCTCTTCTGAAAAATTTCACTATGCACTTCTTATCAGGAATAGAGAACCGAAGAATGAAGTCCACAGTGGTTTCTTTTATTGTCACTTTTAAGCAAAGCACTACATCAATACTCGACCATATCACAAAAAGTAATTTTCAGTGTTAAAAGTAAATTGGTAAAGTCACATTTAGGGCAATAAAAAGATTGTATTTTTCTCCTGAAATACTTCAGAAAATGCTGCTTTCAAAAAATCGAAACATTATTTTGCAGAGTTTTCACTCCTACATCTAAGTGTCTAACTAGAATCTCACACTAATTCTTAAGGTTTTACATTTTTTCCATTTACAGACTAACTCAGCAACTCAGACTCATTAAAGGCATAGTTTAATAACCATTTCTTTCAATGATAATACCAGATTAATCAGCAAATGCCTCTCCCAACTTCTCTAAAAACCTGCAGTTATGAATAATACTCAGAAGCTCTTGAGGCACACACCTCCAGGAGCTGAATATCCTTAAGGACTTCTCCATTTGAGTCACACAGAGGGAAATAACCACACTTTTAAAGACTCCAGTAATGAATTATGTGTTTTTCTGTAAGAATCTTCTAAGTTAAAAAGTAGCCAAGAAAATGGCTTGATAATTCTATGATTTGAGGACAAATTAAATTTTTTTATGATCTTAGCTTCACACATCTGATTTCAGTATTGCTTCTGTGCCAGTAACAGTACTTTTATTGAAGTAAGAGCACACTATGGCACAGGAAAAGAAACCAACCTTGCACACTTGCAAGGCCACACCCATCAGATACACTTCCCTACTGGTCTTGTGCAGCCTCCTCATGCCAGAAAGCAAAGGCCAACGCTATTTTCTACTCCCTGTTTAAAAATAATCAAGCAGATACATTCTTTCTGTTGCACTCTTGACGGTTTCCCACAGTTAGTGTGTTTCTAGCCTGAACCACAGGGCTGCTCACTACTTGATAGCTTCCCTGTGTGATCCTTGTTTAAACTAACATAAAGTCCCATCAAGAACTCAATAGCACATCTAACTGGAGATTCTCTGGTTTGAAATTATAATTTCTGGAGTCTTTTAAAACACTGCATCTTCCTGTTGGCTGTACACCAGATGCCTACTGTATCTGAAGCCTATAAAATGTCTCAAAAGGAACTATGTTAAATTAAAATTGACAATTTGTCTTTGAACTCCCTGAAATTAAACAAGGCAGTTTTACTAGATTTTCCTGCCCTAAGGAAAACAGCAAAAGGAACAAAGGCAGAAATTCCAACACACCTCAATCAAATGACCTGCCAAACACAGTGAAAGTTAACCACTTTGGGACATACTCCCTTCTTAACTATTTCTGTAATTTACAGTGCTATTTCCTATCTGTTTGTGATGGAGTGAAAAAATTTGTTCTGCCATCATTTGCATGAGATATGGCCTAATATGAAGAAATTGTAGGATATAGGAAAGAAGACATTATTATTAACAACCTAAGCTAGAAGCAGAGACAAGAAGAATTGAGAAAAATATATAAACTGCACTTACTATAAAGTCAAACTTCACTATTTCAGTTGGAAGGCACTAACACCAATCATGTAGACCAACTGCCTAACCAACTGAGAGTTGACCAAAAGTTAAAGCATGTTTAAGGGCATTGTCCAAATGCTTCAAACACTGACAGGCCTGGGCATCGATCACCTCACCAGGAAGCCTGTTTGAGCAGTGTTTGAGTATTGCAGCTGTTGTTATTCTTATTTAAAAAATTCATCTAGACAGAGAGCTAAATGACAGGGGGGATTTCATTAGACATTTAAAAAAGAGATTAGTACATACCTTCTGTCTGTTCAGTCTCCTGGGGCTTATTCCCTGTAGGTTCTAGAGGCTCAGTTTTAGACTGCAATTCTGTAGGCTGCCTTTTCTCAAAACTGAAGTCTGGAAGTCGTGGAGCTTGAGGTCTAGTTTTTCTTGCAGGATTCAAGAAAAAGCAGTAGGCACATCTAAATGCTACAGAAAAGCAGACCCAGTAAGTAGCTTCACTAATTAACTTCAGATTTAACCTTTATTCCTACACTTTACTCTGACTGTCCAACACACTAAAAACAGAATTAAATGACTATCACTATCTGAGAGTACCTTCACCAAATTTACATAAGTTGTTTCATATAGGTCCTTTTTTATTTTTTACACTCACTATACATTTGCTTCTTAAAAACTTCTTTACCCTCAGCTCTGCTGAGCAGTGCCCAACTCTCTGAAAGACTTGACCATAATGAACAAAATAATGCAAGTCAGCACCACCAGACGTTGCCACATGGTTATTCTTCCATTCTTTCCTACAAAAAGAATTAAGTCAGCAGATTTTATTTTTTCTTCCCCTTAAGATGCCACTTTCCTCACCCCTTGAGTAAGGAGATGTTAGGAACTCCAGTAGGTATGGCTAACTCTGCTTTTTGAGAAGCATCCTGCCTCAGTGGTGCCTAATTAGGAAAAGGTTTTGCTCTGGAGAAGTACTGGATACCACTTACTAGCTAAATACCTATTTCTGCCCTCTGCGAATTCTGGCACAGTTGAGTTGTTAGCTCACTTGAACTAAGATGACACACAGACTATCTATCTTTAGTTTCATAGGAAACATTCAGCTTATTCTTACAGTGCTGTATAATTATTCATAAAATTAAGCAAAACAAAATGAAATAGAAGATTTATCTGATATTCCCTGATTTCCTAAGCATCAGGCTTACACTTGTGGTAGAAAACAGGCAAAAGAAAACATCTGTGTTCAATAAAGAGCTGTGTCTGTCTTAAGTTACTGTCAGCCATAAACTCCTGTATAGGCCCTTAGGGCTTGTTCCTACTCCTTCTCCGATACCTCCCCAAGATCTTCTTGCCAAAGCAAAATGTTAAGTTCTGGTAAAAGAGGCACACTTTAATGTCACATACTTTCTCAATATAAAACCCTTCTGAGAACCATTCATAGCTAGGAGCAATGCTCAGGGATGTATTGGAGGAAGCTTATTTCTAATGAATAGTTTTCTACACATAAAACCCTTGACCTGAAGGTTGCAATAAAGTACTTCTCTAAGTCTTGAAGTAAATCTTAACATACAGTAAGTTAACAAAAGAAGTTACTGAAAAATGTTCCTATGTGAAGTGGTACTTCACAGTGTCAGTTAAATGCTTAAGTGCAACCAAAATGAAGTATGATGCACGTCAGTCATGAACCATAAGCCAAGTAATAGTCTACCACAGATCAGCTCTTACCTATGTATTCAAACTCCTCCTTCAAAGCCATACCATTGTGAGAAAAACACTGCTGACATATAAGGGCATACCTAGAAAACATGAATAATATATACATACCTTTAAGCAAAAACACACTGAAGGGAGATGTATTTTACCTATATATTGACTAATACCTTAGATATTTTGTCTTAAAAGGTAATTTCCACAATGAAATTATTCCCCTTGAAAGCAAACTAAATTGGTATATTAAATAATCCAAATTAAGCTTATATTTCATTAGTTAATATGAAAAGTGACCATAGTTAACATGGAAGCTCTGATGTTTGGACAGTTCTGAAGGCAATCTGGAAGGCATTTATAATTATATAAATGATATAAATAAAGCTGATATGCTAAGCAAGAAAATTTTTAGTTCAAAACATAAATCATTCACCCACTTGAACACATATTTTCCTATGTATCACATGGCTAATATAATCCAAAACAGAGGTTAATTTTGCCAAAATACTACCACTTGCCCTATAAAGAGATTTCAGGTGAAGCACTGAGAAAGAGCTATTTAATTATGAAAATTTCAGACAAATTCATTTGCAATGATTTTAACCCGGACATGTCTGGCTTAAACAGAAAGGAAGCGTCTTAATCTTTTCTCTCAAGTGTTTAGGTATTTCCTTTAGCAGCATTTTACCTGTTCTGAGGACCATCTCCAACCAAATATTCAATAACTCTATCCACAACTCCTCTTTCTCGAGGAAGAATAGGTCTTGCCAAAGGAGGGCCTGGAGGATGAAGACCTAGGAAGACATGAATTATGTCAGAAATATGTTCAATAATATTACTATATATGATACTTTACTATGCATGCTAGTGTCACAAAATAATTGCACCTACTTAATATACATGGCCATATTTCTTAGTCCACTAAGAAAGCTCTAAGATTTTTAAACCCACAATAGTTGAAAATTCCTCTTCTGCTCCTGTAGCTTATAATCTTATTAAATCACTCTACCTTTACCTCTTGGATATGTAATTAAATTCATAAGTTTTAAAGAACTAAATGTATCAGTAGTATTCAATGACTACTAACAACTAGAGGCTTTTTAAGAAAGTAAAACTCCTTAATTGAGTTTTCTTCATATACTCACATCTCTGCATATTTACACTTCAAGTTTACAGCAACAAATCTAGTAAAATCAATGACAACAGTAGAACTAAGATCAGGGCAACCTGGTCTACTGGAAGGTGTCCCTGTCCATGGCATGGGGGTTGGAACTTGATGATCTCTAAGGTCCCTTATTACACAAACCATTCTATGATCATATGATGTTACAAAAGAAACACCCACTGGTTTCTGAGTCATTACTACACCACGTGAGCATGCCCTCAGTGTGCACTCAGTCTACACACTAAACCTGTCCAGCTGCTTGTCACTTTGGTAATCTCATGTTTTAAGGGCAAGTTGGATACCTTCGGATTTATGCTTAGTCAAGAAGCCAAAGGGCCACTATCAAGATATAATTCTTCCCATGTGTTTTACAAGCTATTATCAAAATAAAATTCCATTAAAAACAGATAAGAGCAATAGTTGGTACCACCTTTTTCACCTCTGTTTATATATGGCAGTTAAAGTAGAACAGTGGCACATGCTTGCCTTTCCACCAAGTTTTAAAACATCTGGTCTACTGTACGAGACCACTGCAAACTGCCAATTTCCATTTATATAGCTTTGAGTTCTTATGTCTACTTTCCCTTGCAGCCTTAAAACAGAATAAGCTAAGCATAACATTTAAAACATGATCTGGTAAGAAACTCAAGTTTGAATCATTCAGAAGAGACCATTCAAACAGTAAAGTATGTGAAACTTCTTCCCAAGGCCACACTCCTGGCAAAGACACATTTGACATAAGCACAGGAAGTATAATGTTATAGTACTTTCAACAAACAGGTACCAGACAGATAGTCCTGAATTGCAATATAATTGAGCACTTGTGAGGAGAGAGAAAGACTTAAAACGTATTTCCATAAGACCTTGACAAATTACATTCAAAGACCACAAAAAAAACGTTCAAGTAGGACAATGAACCAGTCTTTCAGAACTCTCAAATTGGGAAAAAATGGTCAGCTTCAAGCCACCTGAAAACAAAATTGTGAAACCTGACAAATAAGACTTAGTGTAATCCAATGACAAAAATTATTTGTAACAATGCAAAAGCCCTATGCAAGCTCAAGATAGTTAAGAAGTTTAAATAGAAAAGGAATCAATTAATATTCATTCAATCATGGAATTTTGGGGGTTGGAAAGGACTTTACAGATCATCTAGTCCCAATCCCCTGCCATGGGCAGGGACACCTCCCACCAGACCAGGTTGCTCGAGGCCTCATCCAGCCTGGCCTTGAACACTGCCAGGGTCAGGGCATCCACCGCCTCCCTGGGCAACCTGTGCCAGAGCCTCCACCCCCACAGGAAAGACTGCTTCCTAATATCTAGCCTAAATTTCCCCTCCTTCAATTTGAACCCATTACCCTGTGTCCTATCACTCCAGTTCCTAACAAAGTGTCCCTCTCTGGTTCCCCTGGAGCCCCTTCAGACACTGATACGCTATATCCACTGAAAACAGGTATAGAAATAGCATGACTTAAAAGAAAGGCCTTCAGTGACCACAGAGTCAGCCTTCAGCTCTTTTCAATTTGCTGCATCCTTCCAGTGTTTTACTTGTGAAGAGAAAAGCAGAGTCCCCCATAATAGTCAAGGAACAAAGAGGAAGCTCAAGGGTCTAGCAAACCAAAACCACTGCCTCAAGATGCAAAAGAAACTAAACCCACTGACTGAAAACGCAAAACAGGATTTGGAAAAAATCCAAACAAAGGACTACTAAGAAAATATAGTTTGGCAGTGTGCTGAACTAATTCAGAAGGACATTTAACTAAAGGATACTGCATAAAAACCAGTGGACTTCAACCTTTTGCAGGAGATAGATGTAGTTTTCTTGTAGCTCCTTAGCTGGGGACTGCACCAGGACATGCATGGTCATAGCTTCTAGCACAACTGATACTCTTTCATAAACATACACATAGAAGTAACATGTATCTCCTGAGCAGAGTATTGACAGGCAATGACAACAAAGAAAGTCTTACTATTTGATAAGTAGATCCAAGATGGGCTTTAAGTTTAAATACAGCATTAAATGTAACAGCCAGCAATTACCATCTCAAGCCTCCTACTTTTTAATCTTCACAGACTGAAGCAACAAAGGAAGAAGACTAAGGGCAGAATGTGCTACGTTGTGGTAAACCTCAGCATCAATGCCACATACAGCTACCCTCCATCCTCTATGGCAAATGTCAAACATTGCAGGAATCAAACATGTTCAGCAGTGCCCTCTTGAAGTACTGCACACAGAACAAGGCTAATCTTGCCCTTAAGGCTACAGTATTTCTAACAGCACAGCCTTTCAAACACCTCACATCAATAATGGGTAATTGACCTAAATGGACTGTCCAAATCTTTAAAGGCAAAATAAAAATTTGATGAGAAAATAGTGCAATATACAACCCTTCAATAAGTACAAAAAATGTTTCACACTCAACAGATGTTTTTAAAATAACCCTCATTTTCACAAACAAGAGAACTAAATTCAAGAGGTATCAATCAGTGAATGCACTCCCAAATTATCCCTGTATTCTGTCCTCAAGCAGGAACCCAGACCAAGAAAACTCTTACATCAGCAAGGCAGAACAAATTCTGTGCAATATAAACTAGATTCTGCAAAAGCTGCCCAAAGAGATCAGGCGAAATGTATTTCCTAAAGCTTCACAAAAACCTGAAAGACCCAATATTTCCATCAAAAATAGGCACTCATACCCTCTGCAGTAAAATTAAAGCTCTACAACAATTTTGTGAATACCCGGATTACACACAAATGTTTACTTAGACCTATATTCAAAAGACCAAGTTTTCATATGATCTGTAATCACCAATACATGAAAAGTTTCTAAAAGTCAATAAACAAGGTAAAAATTAAATAAAGTTACCTAGAATGGAACACCACAACACGCTCCAAGAATAACTTCAATTACCTACCTACTAATAACTCAAAACAACCATCTTGGTTCTCATGCTGTTCTGGACAACAGTAATTAATATAAACATCAAAAGCAATCATTGTAGAAAGACTGGTCATTTCTGCAAAGCTTGGCAAACTCTCAACTACCTGCTGGTTATTAATTTTCAAACATATGGGAGCTCTGTGGTAATACATGTTAAATTGATTCTCCTCTACAAAATATAGTATAATGAAAATGAATTATTAATCTCCTGTAAAGTGGAGATAATTAAGGCTATTCATATTTGTTGCAAGCCATGCATAAACTTAGATGCAACATAATTCTTACAGATACTTTTCACTACAACTACATGACTGAGATTTTATATGCCTAGAAGGTTTGGGGAAATTCAAGAAAAAACAGGGCTTCCCTGTTAACTAACATCTGCAGTGGCTTCCATGGCTATCCACGACCAAGTAACATGTTTGATCAAAATATCATTTCGGG